TGTAGCAAAGTGAATTATCTTCCATTTAATATGTTGCCTTAAATTAGTTTGACAGTTAGGAATGGCAACGGGTCGGGTTCGGGGTGGGTTTTACTCGCTCCGTCCCCGAACCCGAAATGAATCTCTGTCCCCGATCCTGACCCAATCTTCGATGGGTTTTTTATCGGGGTGTCCCGTCGAGAATTTTTTTGTCCCGTCCCCAAACCCAACCCTAAATATTATATCCAAATTCAAACCCTAACCCGAAAATATTATATATATATATTAATTATAAATATATAAAATATATATATATATATATATATATATATATATATATATATAATCGGGGCAGGTCAAGGCGGTGATACCTTGCCCCGAACCTAACCTAAAAAAATCCCCGAAAAAAATTCTCGATATCCGATCCAAACTTAACTGAATTTTAAATTTTACCGTAGGATTCAGGTCATACTGTCATCCCTATGACAGCTTCATTATTGTCTGTCTTGACTGTTACTTTTCTATTATGTACGCATAAATACACTTGGTTATTCTACCCAATTCGTACAGAAAATGATATATTTCATTAATTGATCAAAAATTGAGTTTGATTCATTATGTGATTAATGACTTCTAATTTTGTACTTTCACTAAATCAAATATAAAGACAATTTGACAATAATGATTAATTTTTGCTCCTTGCGTATTGATGTTTTTATTAATGACAAAAGATGCTAACATATATTTTATTGCCCACTTAGTACAATAGCCTCTAATTTTAATTGAAAAAAAAAAACTAAAATGTTTTCCTTAACTAACGACATTAACATTCTTACCTACGCATGAACTAATTGACCTATGTGGTAAAGGAATTGTTGTTATTCCTAAGAATCCATATAAGAGCATCATAGATGACATGGGTGTGAGTGTTCAATGTCGAAAGACTAAGAGTTATCTTTGAACAGATAATACCTTATACTTACCCCAAATTAATAAAAATAAATAAATAACATTCTTACCTAAATATTTTTTTTTTTTTTAAACAAGGGTCTAATTCATTAAAATTAGAGCAAGTTCATGAAACTAAAGAAAGAGGGTCAAAGCTACTAGTCCATATATTGTATGTAAATTATATATTTAGTTTACGTATTTTAATTTGATAAATAAAGGACAATATTATTTATATATTTAAAATTAGAAAGGGAAATGTCTATTTAAAACCCTTCTATTTTCCCTTGAAAGACGGATAAAGGCAATATCAATGATATAGTTGTAGGTCTATCTGTGACCCAGGTGGCCCGTTCGGTCCACCCAAATTTGAACAAATATTTTAAGTTTGTGGACTAGTTCGGCCTGATCCAAATGTAAATTAAATAATTTAAAGTATATTTTTATTTAAAATTATTTGTTTTTTTATTATTATATGACAAGTATACAAATAGTCCCTGATTATAAAGTATTATTTTATTAAGTTATTTTACTATTAAAAGTTATAAAACAGTCATTTGACAATAGAATATTGCTTTGTTAAGTTCTTTAAAAGTTACAAAATGGTCACCCGACTATTCATTATGTTAAAAACTCATCATTTTTAATTAAAAAATTGGCGGTTGTTTAAGCTAGACATCAACATGATGACTGTGATATGATAGTCATTTGAGATTCTAAGATCATATTTTATCATATCACTGTCAACAGGTTAACGTTCAGTTTAAAATATCGTCAACGGAAAAGGACGAGTTTGAAACATAATAAATAGTCATGTGACCATTTTGTAATTTTTAATAGTGACAGACTTAATAAAGTAATATCATATAGTCGAAGGATCATTTGTATATTTTACCCAATAGTAAATTGGTATGTTCACATTACTGAAGAGTATAAAATATAAATATATATATATAAATATGATAGTATTTATAATTTCGGTGCACTTTAGGTATATGTCACATTCCCATTTTCAGGGATTTTTTAAAAATGTTTTGAAATTCTAATATCGGTTTATGAGTTGTCAAAAGTGTAGTGGATTAGTATGTAATTTACCCAAAATGTTTTGAAATTCTAATACCGGTGTCATTGTGTCCGACTCATCATCGTCCTTCACTCAGTACCATCAGTTTATTGTTTGTCATTGTCGTTAACGTCGAGTGAGGGAGTTTAGTTTTGGGTTTTCAAGAAAATTTAATTATGTCGCTCTCTGATGCAAACCGAACTCGGCAAGTTGTTCCCTATGCATTAAAATGATTTTTTTTGGAATTTTTCGTGCAAAAATCTCCAACGGACGGTATCCCACGTGCCCTCGTGCACGTGTGGGAGTGTTCTGGCTGTTCAAAATCGGTTGAACCCGTTACTTTTTGACCGAACCGGCTGGATCGTTTGACTTGTTTACCGACCTGACTCGTTTATCGTTGACTTTGACCCTTGAATTTTTCTTAAGATCCTTATCTTTATGTTTTTTTTGATGTCCTGAGTGTGTTTCCGTAATATGTTTTACCACATTTTGATCTAAAATCTCTGTTTTATGTCATTTATCGCTTAAAGTCATAGTTATGTTAAGTGAATTGTGAGATTTTGGACTCACTTTTTAGTATTATTTTTGTGTCTCCAGATCACTGTCCAGTAGACCTTGTTCACTCTCGTCCCGCTCAATTCGATTCCGATCGTTCGTCTCGAGATTTGCATAAGTGTTATTTAGTGATTATAGTATATTTTTGTTTAGATATATGGTTTGGATATTCATGGGGTGATGTTATTTTCTAGGCTCTCGTTCTGCATAACATAATGCTATCGACCGTGGGAAGCGTAAGCCTTAGTCGGTATCGATTAGCTGTTATAGGTGTGTCCCTTTTGACCTATATGTTACCTCTGATATTATATATGACTATGTTGTATGATATTGCATGTGCATATTCTGATTGCTTGTGTCTGGATTGTAATGGTTCCCCGATTATTATTGCATCATTTGAATATGTACTTTGATGCATTCTTGATTCTGAATGGGATTAATTCCTCTTCATGTTTATGCATGAGATTTAATCTTCGTCCTGTTTCTGCATGTGATTTATTTCATGTCATGTTTCTGCTTAAGATCATCATCGAAGGGCCAGATCCTCATTCTGGTTTTCGTATTCTGACTTGGGTACCTCTTCGAAGGGTAACATCCCTATTTTGTTTATTGACGACGACAGGTAAAGCTGTGTGTTATTGATGCTACGTTATGATTAAACTCTAAACTACTGTTACACTTTACTTGTGTTATATTATATATACTTTGATATACATTTTACTTTAGAGAAACACACTAGGCTTCATAACTCACTTTCTAGTTTATGCTTTTTCTTATTACTCAGATATTTAGGTCTAAGACATGTACTTGGAGGATCGTTAGTAACTCGTTTTCTTTCAAACATTGTATGGATATTATCAGACTTTATGACATTACTTTTTTCGTTAGCTATATATACTTATTTGTGGGAATTTGGGATATTAAACTACTTTATTTGTTTTGGATTTTAAACTCGTAGTGTATTATATATATTATGAACTCCTACTTCTGCTTATGTATGTTTTTTACGATTTGCTGATGATGCATGTTAAAATATGAGTTTTCTTGATTTCTATTCAACTGAATTATGGTCTTCGAGATTCGGTCGTAACGTTTAGGACGAGTCTAGAGCCCATTAAAGTGAATAGTTGTTTATCTATTGGATTTTTATTCTTCAAACTTAAAAAAGGATTATTTATTTCTTAATTTTCTTCGTTTTTTATTGCATTCAAATTTTTATACTTTTATCAAATTTACCCAAATAATGAAAAAGTAATGTGACTTCGTCATAATATTATTTGATGAAATTAATAAGAAAAATAACATTATAAGTTATAATCTATAAATGTTTAATGCAATTAACCTGTTTAATTTTATAGTAATTCTTTTAACAGAATTATAGAGTGATTTTAAATTATCCATGTTACTAAAAAACAAAATAAGTGAAGGTAAAAAAAAGGGGTAAAGTACATGAATGATCCCTCGAATATAAGGTATTATTTTATTAAGTACTTTGACTATTAAAAGTGATAAAATGATCCTCCTTTTATAGAGTATTACTTTGTTGAATCCCTTGATTATTAAAAGATACGAAATGGTCACTCGATTATTCATTATATTCAAGACTCATCATTTTCTGTTAAACATTTAACAATATTCTGAACTGAACGTTAATCTATTAATTGTGATATGATAAAATCTTATCAAAAAATCTCGAACAACTATAATATTTCAGTCCTCATGTTAACATCTAACTTAGACAATCATTCATTTTTTAATTAAAAAATGAGTTTATAACATAATAAATAGTCGATAATCATCTTATAACTTTTAATAATTGAGAGACCTAACAAAATAATATTTTATAGATAAAAAAGTATTTTTTTTAACTTTTAATAATTTATTAACTTCATAAAACAATATACTATAATCTAAAAATCATTCGTGAAATTAAAAAAAAGCCAACCACTACGCATGTCCAGTAATGCCAAAAAGGCAACTTAGCCAATCAACGGCGGAGATTCATAGAATATTCCTCTAAGTTCCAAAACACGGTCAACTTGCCACGTGGTGATTTCATAGTTCACATAGGATGAATAAGGATCAGATTTCACCACGTAACATTACGAAATTACCCCTCGACAAGTTAAATTAGTCCAACCTAGAGGTATAAACGAGCCAAGTCGAACTCGAGTATTACCAAGCTCGACTCGAACTTTAAATGTAAACTCGACTCGACTCAAATCACGAACCTAAAATTTTCAAGCTCAACTCGAAAGATAATATTAAAACTTGATTCGAACTCAAAAAAACTCGAGACTCAAGCTTGATTCAAAGCTCGATTCAAGCTCGATACAAACTCAATTCAAACTCGATTCAAACTCGATTCAAACTCGAGTGCTCACCACGTGGCTTCGTAAATTAAACCATTGAGTTTGAGGTTTAATTTATAGGATCACTTGTGGAGCACTTGCTTCTATCCTAAAGATGTGGGATATAAAGCCTTCTTTTGTGCTTCTGCATGCAACCTTCTACGTTTCACAAGTTTTGTAATCAAATTTGCCCCATTCTTTTCATCCAGGACTTTTGAATTCAGCCGATGCTCCTTACTTTTATATTTATGAATACTCAATTTTCCATCAGGAACATTGGGGGATTCAAGGCCAGCTTTTATTTCAGGCGCATATAAGTGACGATCAGGGCCATTATGTGGTTCAGATACAGAAGCTGGAGATGCCTGTGAATTTAACTTGAATGACTTTCTGTTAGCTGCTTCGACAAGACAGTTTAAGGATGTCCACAAATCTGCTTTCCCTTCCATAATTTCAACATCATCTGTATCTTCATTAGACCTGTGTTCACTAGAAGGTTTTGCCCCGGAACAATCCTGCATCGATTTAAGGAAGATGGACAAGTTTTCAAAAACTAAGTTTGAAGTTTACATAACATAATCGTAAAAAATATTTCTTCAGCCTCTTTTACTTGCCTTTTACGTTGACTAATTTTGTTTGAGGAATCAGGTGAGGTTGAGCCTGAGGGATGATCTTCTGCGGAATCTTCTTTCTTAGGGGACCCCTCAACAGAGAAACTACACCCTCGAAAATCAGCAATCCTTTTTCGTGCAGTAGCTTTCGTTCTCCTTCCAGTCAAACCACGCTGCATTGGCACTTTGGGAGTACTGACCACCAATGATGACCGTGATCTTTTTTTTCTTTTTGCTGGTGGTGAAGCTGAAGGCATAACCTCGGGAGCACTTATCTTTCTTCTTTTGTAAGGGAAAATTTTACACCTACTGTGCAGAAGCATTCAGTTTCAAACATGCAATCTAGGGAAGATGGACGTGTAGCTGGAAATATTACACCTACTGTGGGGAGCCTTCTAATAGGACATTGAAAGAGAATTTTGACCTCCATACGGTGGAAGAGTGCAGTGAGGGCTTGGCTGTAGAAAGTCCTCGGTCGACTAGGACTAGCCCGTGTTTTAGAAATGGAGTATTAGAATTTTAGGACATGTTATATTTGTAATCTTCTGATTTCGTCATTAATCAAGGTTTACGTTTTTATTATTTGGGTTGTTAATTTATTTTTATTTTATGTTTTGATCACCGTTTGTTTTGATAATGGATCTATTGATTGATTTGACTAAGTGTAATTTATTAGTTTATTTACATATAAACCCTTGTTGATTTCATTAATTTCATTTTGCATAATTTCTATGTTATCTTCATGTGCATAACTTAACCCCTATCACATAATCGAATTAAGGGTTTAGGGCTTAGGGCTTAGGGTTTAGGACTTATGGCTTAGGGTTTGGGATAAGGGTTTATGCTAATTTAGAGTTTAGGGTTTATATTTTAATATAACATGTGCTTAATTAAATGGGCTTTTATTTTTCTTTTAGTATATTATTACGTAATCGGATTAAGGGTTTAGGGCTTAAAGCTTAGGGTTTATGGTTTAGGTCGTAGATTTAGGGTTTATAATTTAGGGTTTATACTTTAGGGTTTAGGTTTAGGGTGTAATCTAACATGTGCTTAATTAAATGAGCTTTTATTTTTATTTTAGTAATATACAATGTAACAATTGGACTTGAGTTGCTTAATTAAAAAATTAAAAATTGAGGGTAGTTGTATTATAGAATTTTTAATATATTTTTAAAATTTTATAAGTATCAATAATGTATTTTTAATATATTTTTAATAATGTAATTTTAAAAAATCTAAAATTATAATATAACATTTTTTCGAGCTACTCACGAGCGTTTCGAGTCGAGTATCGAGTAGCTCGTTTCGGCTCGTTAAGAACTCGAGTCGAGTTCGAGCACGAATCGAGTTCATTCGATCCGAGTATTTATCGAGCCAAGATCGAGTCGATCTCGAGTAACTCGCGATCTATCTCGTCTCATTTACAGTCCTAGTCCAACCAATGACGTGGCTAAGTAATAACCACAAGTTTATTTAATTTTTAAGCTACGTTCGATATCGAGTAGCTCGTTTCGGCTCGTTAAGAACTCGAGTCGAGTTCGAGCACGAGTCGAGTTCATTCGATCCGAGTATTTATCGAGCCAAGATCGAGTCGATCTCGAGTAACTCGCGATCTATCTCGTCTCATTTACAGTCCTAGTCCAACCAATGACGTGGCTAAGTAATAACCACAAGTTTATTTAATTTTTAAGCTACGTTCGATCTAAAAGAATTTAACAATGCTTATACTATCATAAATATGAAAAATAAAAATATTTATACTCTTAAATTAATCAGTTTATGTTAAGAATTATGCAATTTAATTTGGTAATATTATAATTAAACCCACAAGTCATATACACATTCTTCTATATATGCATGCATCATTAACATATTTACATACATAGAGCGCAATTATTGAAAATATCAACGCTTGAAAAAAATATCCAAATAACTCATCCTAATCCATTACTTTTTCAGATAGGCACGCGTCACTTTTCTATACGGTGACACGTTGTCATGCGCCGAACGTTTTCTTATTCCTAGAGTGTAACTCCATTCGCTCCGGTGGATGAAAAAGAATACTATGTTTTAGTTTTTTTTTTCTTTTACTTTTTTTAAAAGAATAATCGCTTTCAAATTTGAGCTTTTATTTTAAATAAATAATCTTGTCAAATATTCCGGAATTGCTTTAAGCTCAAAATCTACATAAATATGTATTAATACATATCAGTATCTAATTGATGTATTTTAATCTATCATTTTGTAGATAAAAAAAAGGTCTAATTCTATTTTCTTTGAAGTGCATCGGTACACTCTACAATGTATCGATGCATCCCTTAACATATGCATTGATGCACTACTCATGCATCGATGCACTAATTGCATTCGATGTGTTAAGGGGTGCATCGATGCACTTCCTGTGCATCGATACACACTGAACAATTTCTAGAAATTTACCCTTGATGCATCGGTACAGGTTGAATGTATACCGATGCACTAGCTTAGAATTCCAATTTTTTTGCACGAAAATCACTCAACTTAGCTCAATTATGCCATAATTCAACCCATTTCATATCCTTAACTTACTTACTCTTACTTAAACCAATTAATACCCATTTATCACATCTTAAACCTCAAAATCCTATCCACCCCTGAGATTCAAAAATTAAACTCAATTTTTCAACATGTTCTAAGTCCACTGCTAACACCTCATATCTCTTAATTCAATCATTGACAAGTCAAATTCAACTTCAAAATATACTAACTCCCTCTATTTCAATAATTCACTTAAAAACTCTTCATATTTAATCCTTCGTAACTCATCCATTTTGAAGTTTCAACATGCTTTAATCTCTAAATAATCTTTCTTATCACCCCAAGAATCAAAACTAAGCTTAAAACTCAGGAATTAACCAGTTGAAATTAAACTTACCTTTGCTATAGAGCTTACGGGTATAGAAGAAGAAGAAGGTTGAACCAAAGTCTCCAAGCTTTTCTATTTTCTTCTCTCCCTTTCCACGTGCCATCTCCTATATAAAGGAGAAATAAAAAATCTTTCTTACAAAATTACTATTATACCCTTCAAAATTTCCACAATTACCATTTAATATAACACTAAAATTTTCTATTTAAGTCCTTGAACTTTTAACTTGTTTCAAAATTGAGCATAAAGTTTCCAAAAATTACTTTTTAGTCACCAGCTCTGATTTGGGATGTTACATTCTAGCTGCCATGTATATGAATAAGGAATGTCTGCAAACTATATATATAGTTAGTATCGAATATAATTTTGTATGTACAAATATTATGATACTAAATTATGTTTTAAATATTACTTTAAATAAGATTTTAAATTAGACAGTTTTATTTATTATATGAAACAAAGCAGAACTGTCTGTTATTGCTTGAAACCGGATTTGAAATAGAAGTCGAAATGTTATAATTTGAGTTCCCCTTACCAACTATTTTATAATAAATGATTACAAATATGAAATCTGTGAAAGAAATAATTTTTTTTACCATTTTGGGTTATGAAACATTTTAGATATTTGATGTAACATCTTTAACTCGTAATAGTATAAATTTACATGTTAAAAGTGTTACAAATATTTAGCTAAGAATACCATTATTTTTTAATAGAAAATGACAAGTTTAAAACATAATAAATAGTTGGGTGAGCATTTTTTAACTTTTAATAGCCGATGACTCAATAAAGCAACACTCTATAGTATGATAACCATTTGTAACTAAGACTTAATAAAGCAATACCTTATAGTCAAGGGACCATTTGTGTAATTTACCCCTAAATTTTAATATTTTTATACAGACCCTGAATTTTAATTTTGTAAATGAAGTAATATAAAATAAAACAAACAAATCATTCATATAATATATTTTGATAGCATATTCAATATAAATTAATTGATTAATAAATTATATATAAATAATTTAAAAAAGATAAAATAACCTCAGTGACCAAAAATGTCTTATAATATACGATTTTAACCAACTTTTTTTGGATTTGCCAAAATGACCAACTAAATCGCAATGCGATCGATAATTCGCAACACGATATCCGGTATCGCAAATCAGTTTCCAGATTCGCAACGCGATTCTGACTATCGCATTGCGATTTTCCAAATTCACGTTGCGATTTTCCTAATTCGCAATGCGAATCTGACAATCGCAACGAGATTTTGACTATCGCAACGAGATTCTGACTATCGTAATACTGAATTTCAAATTCGCAACTCGATTTCTGAATTCGCAACAGGTTTTAGTTTCGCAACACAAATGTTTTGGGTATATAACTACGCAGCAGCAACAACTCATAACCTAAATCCCTAAATCGCAACTCATTTCATCTCCATCTATCACTCTCTCCGACGACATCTGTTCCTATATCCAACGACATCATTTCCCATCCGGCAACAGGTTTTAGTTTCGTAGCTCGTTTGTTTAGTAAATTAATTTACAATAATGAAATCATCTAATATTGATCATGTTTGGATAGATTTGTGTTTTGGAGGGTCATGGGAGAATGTTCATGGTGTTTTACAATATATGCCTTTACCCATGAATCTTCAACTAAAATTGTCATTAAAAAAGTTGACTTATGAAACTCTAATGTTACGTGTTGCAAATAAATTGAATTTAGAGCCCCTAAGTGGATTTAGGTTATCTTATCAGAGAAATGGTAAAGTTTATTTATTAACCGACAATGAAGATGTTGAACGATTCATTGCTTACATTAGTGTTTCAAGTGATGATGTTACATTGTATGTTGTTGAACCTAGAAGTAGTGAAGTTGGGTCAGTAGCGGGTAGTAATCAACTAAGTTTTTCAACCCCGGTTTATGGTGCTCAAAATTTAATGGTTCCACCACAATTTCATCACCAAGCAAATATTGTTTCACTACATTTCCAATACCAAACACAATCTCAAAACCCACAACATTTCCCTAATCCAAATCCCAATCAACTTTCAGCACCAAATTCTGGTTTTCGTATTGACCAGTTAGACGATGATGAGCCAACAGAAAAAAATTGTGAGTACTAGTCAATATTCGAAATTTGATCTTGGTCAATACCCTGACTTTGATCTTGGTCAATACTCGGATTTTGATGATTTTTCAGAAGAAGAAACAGACCCTGCGTGTAATGATTTTGATATTGGTCAATACCCGAATTTTGATGATGAAACAGCCGTTACCGAGGAAGATGTTGTTGATGATAATGAGGAGGAAGTTACGACTGTAAATGAACATGTTGAACAT